AAAACGTTCAAAAACTCATGAAATCATTCAAAACACACGTCTACATGCTAATTACACTCTTAATCATTAATACTTTGACAAACTGTCTATTTTTTTAGAATCTTTGGTTTTTGAACTTGTGTAGTTTATCATATTATATTGAGTACTTAATCTTTTTAGTACTTAAATTTTCAAAAAAAATATCCAAAGTCCACATAACTTCCCAAAAGTTGACAAAAGAGTTTTCATAGTTTGTACATATTATCGTAACTATCAAATAAAAATCTCTATGGACAATGCAACAAATTTATAAATGATAATTTGAGTTGCATCTTTTGTTGTGGTCTAGTTGGTTAAGACACTTGAGTTTCAGCCAAAAGACATGATTTCAAATCCATGTAACAGAATCAAGCATTTCAAAACTTTCACAAGATCTTGATAGAATCAAATTCTTTCAAGATACTGCTAAAGTAATTTCATCTTCACACTTCCTTAGTCATGAAGATTAGAAATCTATACTTACATTGTAACTATGAAGATCACAAATTTAGTTGCTGATTTTAATCGCTCTTTTCAACACAAAATTACCTTTGAAAGTCATAACTTGAGTTAGTCAAAATCATTGTTAGAATCAAATAACGATCACAATGAACGATGCAACATATAAATGTTAATTCAAGTTGCATTTTTTTAATAACTTCCATGGTCATAGAAAAAATCAATCCAGAAGCACAATCTCACTATGAACACCACTCATTTAGAAGGTAATTATAATAACGCATCCTTAGCCATGAAATTGAAAATTCTAGACGCACATTCTTACACTGAAGATCACAAATTCTAGACGTTGATTCTAACTACTATTTTGGCACTAGCTTAGCTTTGAAGATCATAACGTGAGTTAGCCTAGATCATCTTTAGCATCAAAGAACCATCACAATAAACAATGCAACATATCTTTAAATGTTAATTCAAGTAAAGTCTTCTGTTTAACTTTCATGACCATAAAGATCATAAATATTGGTGCACACTCTCAGTGTAAAGATCACAAATCTAGTAACACACTTGAACCATTCTTCTCAGCATTGAATCATCTTGAAGTGTTGTTTTCTGAGTTTGTACAGGGTAGAATGAAAGAAGAATCACAATGGACAATGCAACAAATTTATAAATATTGATTTGAGTTGCATCTTTCGTTGTGATATAGTTGGTTAAAACATTCAAGTTTCATCCGAGAGATCCGGTTTCAACTTTTGTCAACGAAATCAAGCATTGCAAAACTTTAACAAGATCTTGATAAAATTAAAATCTTATCAAGATAGTGTTAATGTTTTTCAACGTTTGTTTTTAAGAAATTAAAATATAAATTTGATCTAAAATTAACAGTTATGACTATGAAAAACACAAATCTAAGAACGCATTCTACTGACGCTTTCATGTCCATGATGATTAGAAATCTAGACGCACATTCTAATTGTGAAGATCACAAATTTAATTGTTGATTCTGATTCCTCTTTTGGGCACCAAGTTACCTTTGAAGATCATAATGTGAGTTAATATAGGTCATTGTTAGAATCCAATAACGATCACCATGAAAGATGCAACATATTTATTACATATATTACATCTTTCGTTTAATTTTCATGGCCATAGAGATCACAAAACTAGATTCACACTCTCAATGTGAAGACCACAAATCTAGGAGCATACTCTAATCACTCTTCCTTAGTCATGATGATTAGAAATCTAGACCAACATCACAAATTTACGCGTGTACTCTAACTGCTCTTCTTGTCATAAGAGCCTAAGTGACTTGCTACAAAGAAATGCAAGATGTTTCAATTCTTGAGTGGTAATTTTGAACTATTTGACCCTAAGATAAGATCACATATGATTTAAAAAAATCTATTGAATCAAAGGATGATGATGTTGTTGTGAGTTATTTGGATTTGCTAAACTACTATTTTAGTCATGTCAACAACAAATATATTTCAAAGAATTGGCTAAAAATAAAATCTCCTTTTGTTTGTTTGTATGTACCCTGATATTACAACTCATCTACCGGCAAAAATTAAGACGAGCTTCAAACTGAAACAACATAACACAAAATTCGAATTGGGACATTTACTCCAACTTGGTACTCAAGTAATTAACTCTCACTAGAAAAAGTCACAAGTATAAGAATAATGTTGAATAACAATCAAAGAATTAACCTACATGTGAATGAGATGCATGAAAAAATTCCATAGTTTTGATGATTATAGACATGAGATAGGATGGCAGCATTATTAAGATTTCTGTAACACTCGATTTAGTATAAGTCAACAATTGATTACTAAGTGCGACGAGATCTAAATATTGCCTCAATCATTACACATGTCCCGTGTCAACACGATAAATTTGTAGTTTTAAATATTGATTTTCTCTTGTATTTGGGATTCTTGTATCAAGTTTTTTTAAATATAATCGTATACTATATGATTACCTAAAGCATTTTCTTTATAGAGCTTCATTCTAATATATGAATCTATCATTCTTTCTTATCAATTTTGAATTTAACTTGATTTTGATTCTATTTCTTAATAAAAAATTACATCTTCATATATTAAATTTTTTTAATTCTATGGGTTGATTATTCTTTGTAAGAAATATCCAAAAAATACATAAGATTTCTATAACGTAACAAATGTTAGAAATTCAAAAGTCAAGAAACAAGTATTATTCAAAATACATTATTCAACAACAATATTCTTTAATGAATTGCATATTACATAACTCTAACATCATAGTCTATTGTTGAACAAGTCATGCTTGTTGATATTCAATTTTTGTTTCACATTGTTTTATGAAAAATAGTATATTTGATCTTCACCTAAATATTATTGTTAAGATGATAATTCTTGATTCAATTCCAACAGAATACCGTCTTCTTATCTAAAGATTATCTGGCCCCTTACATTTAGATCCAAAACTCTTATCATCTTTGTTACCTTTCAAACATGATCATCTACAATTCACAATAATGTCTTATGAAGAGTATGGAAAAGATCATATCATCTTCTTCTATTATAAATTATTCATTAACAACCCATTTTCAATTTTTTAATAAATTAGTGTATCCTTATCACATAACACACGTGACAATGACAAGTAAGAACTAAATAATGAGCTGAAGAGATGAAGTGTATTACTTTTATACCTTATCTCGTCTCCCATATTTTGGAGGTGGATAATTGAAAAAATCATCAAAGACATCACATTGATCTTGGATCGTTGTACCAAAAATTCTCATCTCAAACTTCATTAGGTTCAAATAGACTTGTAGATCTTTTTGAATATCTTTGCAATTGATTCATAATTTTATATCTCTCAAGAGCTTCAATCAACATACTACACTCATTAAACTAATCCAGTTGTTTTAAAATTGAAGTTTGTAAATGTTTCATACACAAATATATTATTTCCTCTAATTTTCATAGTAGTTATTTCATTACGTAAATTACTGAAGATTGTCATTGCTGTCATATGTTCAAATTATTATTTTCACTCATGAGGAAAAAAAATGAAAAGTTGGAAAATGGAAAGTTGTTGGTGTGGTTTAACGGATGGGTATGAAAAGCCGAAGATTTCAGATGTTTCAAACAATGGAGATTCAAAACTCACAATGTATGTTATGCCTCAATAGTTGCCTGCGAAATCAGTCTTTTGCAACAATTGACTAATCTAAATCATGTTGTCCAATATACTAGATAATTTATAAAAGCATGAATTATCATAGTTTAATTTAGATCAAATTTGATTTCATTAACTTAAATCAACTAGTTTAACTAAATAGTCAAACTATTGTGATCATTTACGCATATAACGTTCACAAATTCAGTGGGAGGGGATTATGTCTATGTATTCTTTAGGGAGCTTCTAGTTATAACTCACTGAGGGCTAAATAGTCAAACTATTGTCATTATTAATGTATATAACATTCACAAATTCCGTGGGGGTTATGTCTATGTATTCTTAAGGAACTGCTAGTAATACTTCACTTTTGGCTAATTAGACTTCACTCTACTATACGCAATTCTCTTCTTGGTCGTTGGTCGATGTAGTGTAGTAGTAGATGCATCATATTAAACATTCAACCAAATAGAGAAGAATGTATAGTAGGTAGAGTTCTAAAGTGAAAGATAACTAGCCACTCCTTGATTTTTTATTGTTGGTTTTTGTATTTTATATTTTAATGTAAGTATAAGATAATTTAAATATTATTTAAAATTTTTCAATTTTTAAAGCAAAAAACACCAGATTGAAAATCATTTTCAGTTTAGTGTCATAGTTTATGATTTATTTCTACATATCATTGGTACAAATAGTACTCTATGAATTTAAAAACAAACAATCTATGACAAGGACAAAATTCCAATTTTAACAAGTATGCATCTATACAATGATAAAGATAACACGGATACTCCAATGTCATTCATGCTCAACACTATGATGCACGCATTATCTCAAGTGGATAACGAATAAGAGGCAAATTCCACACATAATGTCCATTAGAAAATTATTTCTGTATCTTTTACACAAACTCAGCAATACTTTTGGAGAACTTTGGAGGGAAAAGAACTCGGGTCATTTCCTTTTTTTAAGTTCTCCACTTTTCAAAGCTTTTGACACAAGTATTCAAAAATCGGAAGACCAGTTAAGAATTAAGGAATACTCTTTCGTCTTTCATCAAAGCCAGATGCCTCTAAGAGAAGAAAGTTTAGGTCAAAAGAGGCCTGATAAACCTAGTGTTTGTTTCAGACGCCCGCAATAGACGCGGTCACATAAAAAAAAAGTGATCCAGTCAACTATCAAGAGGTGACAAAGAATATGAGAACTGTTCTTCTGTTAATATTCAAAGACTAACCATGAGCTGACATCCCTACATTTTTCCATTTATTTGCTGCATTGGGTGTAGCTCTAAAACCAAGATCAAACTGTAAAGGTGAAGTGGAATATGCGCCCTGACACAAACTATACCTTGAAATAGACAGCAAACTTCAGCATCCGTTTCAGTTTTTACAATTTGTTTCAACATAATCATCTCATTGGAGAGTAGGGCGAAGCTACATTTCTTGCCTGAATGACTAACACCTCCCTCTTTGCCAAGGTCCCATCTAACAAAAGCTTGGAGGAGATAGGCCTCATGTGGCAAAATCAGTAGGTTCAATCTGACATGTACTAAAGGAATCCTAAATGTTGCAATGACTACCCTCTAGCCTGTTTCTTGCACTGAAATGCTGTCCATCCGTATAATTCTGTATCAAATTTCCCACTCCCAACACTCCTGAGATTGTAGGCCCGTCGTTAAAAGCTCAACACTTCTTGGGCGAGACCACTACCACAATTCTTGCTGAAAAGTCGAACTTTTAGAAGTATCTTCAAGGTGATTCAATCACACCACAGCTGCAAGGCCAACTCAAACCGATCATCTCAAATTAAGGACTCGGATCTGCTAGCTTTAACCAATCAAAAAATATCACTCCTTGTTTAGGAAAAAGTTCAACTCCTGTGGATGAGGTAAAATATTGACAAAGGATGTTCTGTATTTCAGTCTACAATGTCATCCCCGTCCGTCATCCATCTGTGTTTTACATCTGGGAGGTAAACATCGATCGTATTCCAGTATGTTAACTGCGGTCAAGATTATTTTAATCAAGAGAGCGGCATTAATGGTGATGCAGAGGTAAGATAGAGGGAGATCAATAGGCATCCAGTTCTCCCACTTGTGCCCTTATGTTGACGGCGTATGCACCATTACCGCTCCAGAACAATTTCACTTGGATGAAGTTCTTCATTGGTCGACCTGACAAATGATCACAAATATCGTGTGAGGACACGTCCTGTCATCTAAGAAGGGAGAAATAAGAATTAGAAAAAAATTAGCAGCTGAATGCTGATAGCACAGAATCCTTGAAGACAAACTTCAAATCTTTCTCGACGATGGTTGGGTCCTAGATATCGCTCGGCGGGGCTTGGTCACAACGGAAGCTTGTCGAGGACACTTCCCTTGGACACCTTATTTATCTCCAAAGCATGGGAGCGGCTATACAGGCAAACTTTACTTCCGTGGAAGAACGGAGCCGGGAGGCGAGACACATCCCCAAACAGAGACCGGCAGTTGACTCCTCACTAAGTATGAAATGTTTTCCCTTCATGTCTTGTATCGTCTAGAAGCGTATCACATCCTTTACAAGTCAAAGATAAGTATGAAAAAGCTACGAACAGGTACTCCTTCCTTCACTTTTAGTGAAAACTTTCTGCTTATCTTCATCGCCTATATGACAGCAATACATCCTTCAAAAAACAGAATAACAGTTGTCAATTTGGAATTGGAACTGTAAGGAAGCAATCCCTTTGGGACAACTTACTCGTCTCCGAAGCAGGGGGGATAGCTAGAGGGGGTAACTTTAGGTCCCTACATAGACATGCCGGGAGGTAAGACAAAACCCAGAAACAGCTTCCGACAGTTCCCGCCTTTAAACTTGTGACTAAATATTTCTAGTTGTTTGCGTAAATCGCCAGTAAAAGCATATCACATCCTTGACAAATCAGATCAACAAGGGCCGGTCTGGTATATTGTCAAGCAAGTAATCCCTTTGGGGCACCTTATTCGTCTCCAAAGCATGGGAATGGCTCGTAAGACAAACTTAGGACCCAGCAATAACCAGCGAGGAGGCAAGACAACGACTGAGTACAGCAGCAGACGGCTTAGGAATTGTATTGCCTGCGAGTGCGTATGTCATACTTAAAAAAATACATCCACAAAGATCCGTCGGGAAGAGTGTCTAGGACGTAAAGCCCTTAGGACAGATTATTCGTTTGAAAGCACGGAAGTTGCTAAAAGGTCTAGGTTTCACATCTCACATTGGAAGACAGTGCTTGAGAGTTAGACAAACTCCGCAAACAGCAGCCAAAAGATTACACATGGTATTCAAACAGAACTTTGACCGAAGCAGCACACTTACATATAGAAAGTTTTGTGAAGTAAATCGTATACAAAAGACGGTAAAGTGTTAGAGCCATAAAGCAATAAGGGTTTGACCTCACGTATAGATTCGGATTTTAAGGAGTTGCAAATAGTAAATAGGTCAAAGCAATAAACAAAATCTGGATGATAGAGTAGATAACCGAAAAAACCCCAAAAAAGGGAAAAGGGGAGAAAAGGGAAAGCCTAACCCTTCAGTCTGAGTTGATGTGTCCAGCTTAGCCCAGCTTGAGGTTGATCACCCGACACCTTCGACAAAATAGGAGAACAAGTAGTTCTTTCACCCATTTTATGCACAACCTGCCCAATATTGGAGTTCCACATAAGAGTGCTGTCAAAAATGGCCACAACTAAAGAAATATGACGACCCTAGTCCAATGTCGTTGACTGATAATAAACTTCCAGACGTCGTGCAAGATAGCAAGAGAACTTTGAAAAACAGGTTGGAACGTGGCTAGCCCACTGAATTTGCTAACATCCAAAGGCGAACACCTGAAAGGAAACTGTGCTAGTAGTGCCCAGTGCTACAGTATTTAGGGAAATACATCTAGTTATCAAGGGTAAAATCCTGTATCGCTGAAACCAAATACTAATATGTGCTTCGTTTCGCAGGCTCGTACTACATACCTGAAGGATATATCGATGACGAGAACTTTCATCGCTGTTGAATCTTGAGAAGAGAGTAACCGCTTGATGTAACCTGAAATGGAATAAGCTGTGTAAATTGAGTGTTTCAAATAGGATAATATTATGCTACAAGTTCAACAGACGGTAGGTATTTGTATACAAATACATCATCCATGTCGCTTGCAGCAAGATGGAGATCTAGGTCTAGGTCGCACATTTAATCACGTCTCTGATCAGAGAGAGAGGCATTATCGATGATTTCCACAGCATAAGATTTGGAATATTGCAAATGCTTCCTAACCCAGAGATGCACCTTCATACGTTTTCTCTCCAAACTCACCTGTGAGAAAGGGCTATACCCCAAGACATCCTGGGTTCGAACTTAGATGATATAAATGCAGACATGGATTGCTTGTCTTCGTCACAGCTGCAAAGACGCATTCCGACGGGCGAGGAGTCAGTAATTTAATACGATAGCAAAACACCTGTATTTCTGTTCCTACATTATGTTATCTGCTTTATGATCGTGGCTTGAAGCAGTAATCTGTCAGACGAACCAAAGACTGATAAACAAGTGCCAGCCAAAGTGGAGGAACCATTTGTTACAAATATACTAGCAGTCAATTCCTTGAAAAACTGAACCTGTATTAGAACCTACGAACAAATACATCATCGAGTCCTCTGAGCGAAAAATACAAGGCATCCCAAGCCATTCATCACCCAGGCAGACAGTGCTTTGGAAACTTGACTATTATTTCGGTTATGACTAGCACTTGACGATCTAAGTCGAGAATAGTGAGCCAGTTACCACATTTTAACAAGTCACTAAGGAGATGTCAAAGTTATCTGCACCCCAGAGTGCTCTCCAGTGTCATTCGGTGACGCCGATCGAGGTCCGTAACGACCGTCAATCCCAAAATTCCAGCTTGCCGACCATCACTTTGGAACGAGTTGAGGAATTTGTGCGTTAACTTCACCCTCATTTCAGACATGCGTATCTTTGTCCCCCGTACCATACCCTCGACTGAGGTCCTCGAATTCAACTGTGCAGCAGATGTTTCAGAAAGGAGATTAGATTACGCACTCGCGATGACACTCTCTACAATTTAAAACACGTTACACATCAATCAAACTCGGCCAACAAGACATGGCATCTTGCTATGCCTAGAGTTGACCCTCGACGACACTCCGTTATTGAATATCTGCTTAACATTGAAGCTGACATGGGAATAACCAGTCTTCGATTCCGTGGACAGATTGTTAGAATCCGTGAGAAATACTCAATATAGGAAGTAAGGTTATCTCCATGAAGAGATGGCAGCACATAAATCTACCAGCCACACATAAATCGTGCACCACAGGAACACATTGCGCATTTCCGTGCACTCACCGGAATAGTGGAAGCGAAGCTGTGGAGATCCTGAATGGGAGTAACACGCTTGACAGAAATGTGATCCGGGACAATCTTCGCATTCGGCCACAGAGAGACTCCACCGCCTCCAGTCCACCAGGACGGAGGAATTGGAGCCAAAGGCCGGGTGAGTTCCATGCCGCAGACTTACGTGCGCCGCCACTCGGGCGCCCACAACTCGTCTACGGTCGATCGATCAGACGAGCATAATCCCAATCCACCGAGCATGCATCGGCTCACAGGGTCCATTCCTGTTCCATGACCGCATGGATGTGGAGGCAGGATTTCGGAGAGGAAAGCACTCTCTCCAGCTCCCGGTACAAAGAAGGTTCCACCGTCGCTCACCGTCGCTTACGGCCTTAGCCAGAAGGCCAATGCCACGTGGATCCTCGGACCTGTCGAGGAGGTGGTATGATGTGCTCCACGCGTGCTAGCAGACAACTTAGTCCTAATCCAGTTATTATCGTTGGGCGACTTTGCTTCAGCTCTACAGTGGACCATTTCCAAACCAACACACATTTAATTGTATGCCCATCTTGACATGAATGTTCTTCTCACCTCGTTGACTAAAACATCTTCAGAGTGAAGGTGCTACTACTCGACTCGGGGCTTAAATCTCTATCTTTTCTTAATTAGTGCGTTAGGAGCATATTATTCTTTCTAATTAGAATGTAGATGTATCCTTGTTCATGTTTATGAAAAGCCTTGAGGAATTAATAAACCTCAAACATATCAGTGTTTAAATTGGATCTTGTTGTTATAAACTTGTATAATCACATCACACCTCAACATTTGTTTCTTTTGCAGTTCAACACTTTGCACAAAATAAAAGCAATAGCTTCGCTAATGGAATGACCAGTTTTGAGTTAATGAAGATTAAATTTATATACGTCTCAGAGTAGGGTGGAGATCACGGTGGCTGTTTCTCTAGAGCACAAATTCCTGAAAAGAGAACATATACTCTAGCTTTCGATGCTAATGGTGTCCATCGAAAAACTTCTACAGCCTTTTATTCTGTATACAATTTGGCTTCCGTACTTTGATGTCTCCCTACAGAAGAATATGAAAATCGGATTCATGAACTTTTTTCGCATGTTGTGTGATGTGTGGCTACTTTTTTAAATAGCGACGTCCAAAGTTTGTTGAAGATGCTTGAACGTGCTTACTTGACTGTTTCTTGACTTTCTTGTATTCTTGGACACCTTGTCATGGAAAAAAAAACATATAAACACTTCAGAATTTTTTGGGTTACCTTTGTGCTATTGTCTTCAAATAGGGGTTATATTCAGTCGTGTAAGTGGTGCCACACACCTGCTCGGACCTTTAGATCTAGCCTTTGTTTTATACTAATGTTTATGCAATTTGACTTTGCATTTGTTTCCGTCTATCGTTACCGTGGTAGAACATATAATTAGTTCTTCTTCGCATTCTCCTAGCCCTCAACCTTGAAAACGGTTTCCAAGGTCGCGTTAATTGGAATGTTTTAAAAATTGTATTTCTAACTCAAACAGTTATGATTATACCGACTGGTAAAAGACAAAACTATACGTCGTCGCAGAAGTCCGCAGTCATCCGTGACTGTCCTGGTAGAACAGGACAAGAGCGGCTGGTATTTTGTCGTCTTCTCTGATGCTCCTCTCCATGAGGTAAAGCTCTGAAGATAGCTGCCGGTAACCGGTAGCCTGTGAAGACGATAGAAGCCATGCGGAGAATGAGGACGTCCATATTTCAGATTTTCTCGCTGCTTTCAGGTCGTCACAAATTGTGACTGCCTTCTGTGAAAGAGCTCGAGCAAAGACTGTTGGAGTGGAATTTTGTCATGAGAGCAGCACTGGTCTGAGCACTGCTGAATATTGAGTTCGATGATTTCTCTTGTAATTGAATCTAGAAGTAGGTAGCTCATATGTAATTGAGAGAAATAGCCGAAGTCTGCTGATAGCAGTTTCTGAAAATCTGTAGGAAGATTTGTTCCGCTCATCTACTAAATCTCTGCCAGATTTCAAAGTCTGGAGTTTCGCAATTTGAGGGTTGAGAATTGAATGAAATTGAGAAAAAGACTGTTCTCGACCATTGGCTTTCAGAAAAGCCCAGCTCTCTCAAATCTGGACCTCTGCTTTTAAACCTTGCAATGGCAACCGTTTGTTGCTCAGCTCTATCTTACGGTATCCTACAAGTACCTTACGCTCGGCAGGAAGGAACAGTTGAGATTCAAGCTTTATCGCGAAGCTCCGGTGTTTTTGCTGAGGTCGACGGTGCTCAGAAGTATTTGCGAGGTCAGCGTTCTGCACGGTTTCGTCTACAAGAGAGGAAGAACACAGTGTTCTGTAAAGCTATGCAAGGAGAATCACCATCGGAGTCTGTAATTACTCACAAGCTTTGGTTGCATCTATATTTATCCAACTTGATAATTTTAAACGAGACAGCAACGTCTGCTTCCAGCTTCACATAATCCTTCTACTATACTGCAGATGCTGACATCTTCTAGTCCTTTGGTTGGTTTTACATTCTAATCTCATTTCATGGCTCTTAGTTCTTCGGGTTTTTGTGTCTCCAGAATTCAACCATCCCAGAGTACAAAGCTGGGCCATTGGATGACCTTTTTTTCAAAATATTTCGGCAGAAAATGGCCGAGGTAAAACCTTTACTTTACAAAACTCATGAATTTAGCCCTCTTAGTTTCATTGAAGGACTATGAATATGTAAACGTCATTACCAAAGTTCTAGGAAATTAAGATATTTTGAAGCCCTGAAGCTTTCTAGGTGAGCCTCCATCCGGAATGGTGAAGTAACTGGCTGAATTGACTGGTCTACATTCTGTTGTAGTTCTGGGACAGTTTTATATTTCGCTCTATGTATATTAAAGTGATCATTGCAGGAGGTTGGTTGGAACTCGGACATACCTGGATATGATGGTCTCATTGAAGTTGTCAAGTATCTGTACACAAGGAATACTTCCAAAGAGGCCACAGAAGCATCAACGGTAAGCCTACGAACACTCTTCAATTGTTCTAGATCCAAACTTTCCGACTGTGCAAACCACTCCATTGACTTGGAGCGAATCCTTTAATTAATGCGATTGACTAGAGCTCAAATTACATCGTATGCTACACAAATGTTCACGATAGACTATCAGCGTGCTGATTCAGTTGCAAGCGTACAACAGGTTGGAGACCTTGTGTCACTTTTGGATGTGTTTATCGTCAGTGCGTATAACACAATGTTGTATATGTTAGATGCACTTGCTTTCAATGCAGAATACACCATTGCAATCAATGGGTGTAGTTTCACATGTTTGCAGGGCGTGTCCTCGGATCAACATGTTGCCTAGGTGAAGTATAGGTCAGTCAGTTTCTTCGTAAAGGAAGTATGTCATACTCGATACAAAATGTGTTTTGTGCAGGTACGTGTATTGACATCTCTGTTTCCAGGTTGGCTACTTCCGTTATTTCGACAGTTAATTGCACCAATTTCTGATGGAAAGGTTGCAGCTATTATGACTGGTAAGAGTCAGGCTTTGACAGAGTCTCCTAACGTTACAAGAGGTCTGTTCAAAGTGAGAGTTCACATCATTAATCCCTCAGTAAGATGTAATTTCAGCGCTATTTTTCATAGTTGTTTGTCCTGAAAGAACGATGATAACACTATTAAGTGCTAGCTATACTATACACTATACTAGCGCCTCGAGGTCGGGCTCTAGTTCTAGTTCCGCTCAGTTGGATCGTGAAGAAACTTGTAACATCATTTGTTTGTTGAGCAGCGTTTGTTACTCAGGCAACTTGTCAGTGGTTGATGGGGCCCTGCACTGTTAACGAAGTTGTTCTTGCGGATGGTTCCACCCAGCTTAGTGGGGTAAGTATCTCAACCGAATAGCGGTAACCTCGAGGTACGAATCGATGGATGTTCTAAATTTGCTGTCAATTTGATGTATCTTAATCTTGGCCAAAGCTCGCAAATTGAACTTTACTAAAGTGATGTACCTTAGAAGTTTTCACACATTTTCCATGTAGTCTTATCCAAAGAATGAATCGAAAGTTACAAACATAGCAGAGATATTAGTCGTTTCAATCCTTTTCAGGAAGAAGGGTGAACCATACCAGTAATTTTGCCTACAAATGAAGTTCCACTAATTTAGGCCAGGATGTTGTTTGTGTACCCTTTTTCAAGACTGCAACCATGTCTTCGTATAACATATACCCTCCTATTGGCAGGTTTTTGTTCATAAATGCAAGTACTTGGAAGAGAGCAAATGTGCAGGCATTTGCACTCACACTTGCAAAATCCCAACTCAGGTGATATATGTATTTTATCTCTATTGCGCGTAAGGTTTCCTTCACGGATACCGTCCATTGGATAGAAATTATAAGCTTACATGTAATTGGAATGTTTCTTCGTTTGCTGGTGTAAAGTTTTAGTAGCGATTTCATACAGTTAATAGTTTTTGAGAGGATTACAGTTTATTTTCATTTAGTAGATCAACGGCTTGGACATGTATTTTATGGTCCAATACATGCTGATTTACTGATGAAATTGTCAATATTTAACAGATCAGAAAGTCTAGATCTTTTGAAGCTTATCTAACGACTGATCAGAGAAGGATATTAAACTGTTATCAAGTATAATATACTAGCATGAAAGAGTTTACTTAGCGTTGCATTGAAGAAATCTCAACATGACATCGGTGAATATGTGAACCAATCGTGTCGCATTATATTGCATGTGCAAACTGCAGACGTTTATGAAGGAGAAGATGAGTGTACCCCTGTCGATGGAGCCAAACTTCAATGATTATAGCTGTCAGGTACATTGGCTTTCGTCACCATGAGAAGAAAGAGTGAAGCCTCTGCTAAAAGCAAGTAATGATTTTTCAGATCCTCGTTCTTGTGTTATAAGAATTCAGAGAATAAAACGTAAGGGTACGAAGGCTTTTGTGGTTGACTACTGGCAACTGGATCGATTCCCTTGTGGTTTGAAAGATCCTACTGCAAGAGAGACCCGCTTAACTTCTAGTTCCTCCGCCTCCCGTTTCACCCCGTCTTGGTTCTTCGTACCAGCACCCCTCGATACAGTTATGACATACACGTCAACCAACTTTAACATGAATTAAGTTACTAGCAGGACCTCTGGAAGTCTTAGAAGTCCACTCTGGCCTGTCATGTGGTTCTGAATTCAAGAGGACTTTTATGCAGTTCAAGTACGGCGTTGCCGCTCCTCCAAGGGACGAAGATCCTGGCCTCTTAACACCATGTTTATCAATCTGCCCAACGGCGGCTACGAGATCGTCTCTGAGGGGCTATGTCCCTACAGAGCAATGTCCTCAGGTACGATCAGCCTCTTTCACGACTTTGCTGATTGGTACTCGACAGAAGTTGCAACACTGATCAATCGTAATAATCGCGTAGCACTCAATGATGCACTTGGATTTTTTTTTTCATGCTTCTTAGTTCTGTGACTGTTTCACGATGTTCGTTGCTATTTCTCCTAACTCGCTAAGTTTTTCAACCCACGAAAAGCCCTTAGATGATACTACCTTCAAACCAATCACTGGACTAGAAAGTGGCGTTCTGTAAGCCAAACGCTAATATTGTAACCTTCTGCGGGCCACTAAGCCCAATTCCTCATCGATGAGCAATTGGGCTTAGTGGCCCGCAGATTGGTTTTCATCGTACACCACTCTGTAGTCATTCGATTTCCTTCAAAGCTTGGATTTCTCGTACATTGACAGGAAAAGGTGCTCTTATTGATTAGGATTATCCAACTGCAGGTTAATTTGTTGTGGAGATTAGCTGTTGTCAAGTTTTTATGAACTTGCCCCTTTCTGCAGGTCTGACAATACCCCTCGCAAGTGGACACCATATCAACTGCGTCTTTGCGGGTGTAGCTTAATCTCAATATGAGATTAAGCTACAGTTTGAAATATGATGTGAAGTGAAGTCGAATTGAGAACAGGATCAGTTCATGTGCTGCACTTTAGGGTCGGAGGAGGTCGTGTATATTACATCATCTGCAAGAAAGTGTTTTTCTCCAGAGCAAATAAAGTCCGTGGTATTGGAAAGTCCCTGATTTTAAGGATCGAGTGCATGATGAAATGTGAGAAGCTGACGTGGAACTCATCACCTCATGATTTCGAACACACTTTTGTTACGATTTAGTGCCGGAGCCCGGGTCGGACCCAACAATATCCACTACTGATGGAACTCCTTAGGTGCCTTGAGTATTTCAACATAGCGATTGAAATAGCCGAGCCTTGCACAGTGCTTAGTGGAGAGAATTTGGATTTGGAGAGAATTTTTACGGTACGCGTGTCTCATAACACGAAATAATCGAATGAAGAATTTCACTTATAACGAAGTGATTCTGTCCAGCTCAGAACAGATGCGTTGCCAAGTAGCTTTGAGTTTGCATGTTAGAGGCAACTAAGGACGCGGATATAAGCTGGGCAAGCACGATCCACTCACCGGATACTTATCACGGAAATATATGCAGGAGTCACACACGAGTGCAGCATTTTCTCCAAGCGGAGATGACTTTCACATTGAGACTAATTTGCTTCCTCAAACGTTCAACTTAGTATCCTCGTGACTGTCGTAGTTGGTGCAGTTATTATGATGGTTTTTGTAAGTCCTAAATATGGCAACCTCTCATCGCATTTGAAACTCAGCGATACCACCTTTAAGAACACACGCCACGTTTGCAGAATTTTACCCTGAGATTGATGTGACATGATATCTGCTTTCCCATCTGTATTTGATTATGACTGGACTGTTTCAAGAATCACTATCGCTTGTTAAGGAACATACCGACGACCTTGTATCGGAAAGTTATTGAAGCCATTCTTACAAATTCACGGAGGTTACATAGGGTTATCTGTATAATGTACTTCAGTTCTAAGAAAGTGCCTTAAAAGACGTGATTGGACCGCGGTCTATCCGTATTGCACTCTGCCGTTCATACCTACTGGCATGATTTATGAATATTTTCAACAGAATTCCTCTGTCAATAGGTCATGATCACTGGGGTTTGCCTAGTCAACGCAGGTAAGGTCAGATGATATCTGGACTTGTTGAATAGATTAAAGAGATCTTCCCCATTAAAAAAATCCAGTTGGAACCAGTGTTGTCAGGGCGAGTACATGGATACTGAACATTCTATCAACTTTCCACAGTCTGTGTAAGAAAGTGGAAGTTGCTCCATCTAAACGCAAAGAGGAGATATTCTTTGAAGAGTTAACTCGAGTCAAGAGGATATTGTACTAAAGAGGTCTTAATTAGTAACAGGTCAGTTTGAGCTACGGGGTATTCTTAAGATGAGGACTTCGATGTTGACAGGAATCTTGCCACAGTGTGTCTATGAAAAGGAGGTTGCTTTCCCTTCATGCAAAGTGCAGATACTTTTTGAAGAGTTAAACCGAGTCATGAGGAAATTAAAGAGTTCTTCAGCGGTGACAGATTAGTAATGTCTAATGGGATACGCCTTCAGAGTCTTCATGTAAAGATCTTCGGAACATCTTTGCCCCAAAGAAGAAGCAGAAGCTGGGCAAGAAGATGAAGAAGCAGGTAGTTCAGAAATCCATAACAAAGAACACAGCAACAAAGGAGGTAGCAACTGCAAAACTTTTCTTATCGGTTATTGAGCTTGCTTAGGAGCTGGACACGATAGTGGTGCCACTTGTTGTTTGAACGTACCAGATTTTGCTGTTTAAAGCGCCAGATTTAGTAGAGTTTGCTGTTGAAACGCCAGATTTTAAAACGCGAGAGAAGACGACACCTCTTCTTGTTATTACACAATTGTTTAACCCTTTTTCAGTTAGTACAATTCTCTATCTTCAGCTCAATATGTGATAAATTCTAGCGATGGAATATGTAGAGTTACAAAGCCATAGACAGACCGACTTCTATTTATTGCATTTGACATAAATTTTCTTAGTTTTAGAAGAGTTGCAAAAGAGTGCTGGTGAAAACAACTTCGGTTTACTACGAGATAATGCAATATTTTATGTAATCGTTCACCGTCAGCCTCACTGGAGTAAACCCCGTGAAATAATGGAAAACTCCAAGTAAACGGAGTTTGCCTGGCGAGTATCACCTTCCACACCCACTGTTGGTTTCTAAGAAAGAGTCAACAGTCTTGCACGGACAAGCACTAGATAAGAGGACCACTTCCCAACGACCCGGAAATTGAGTTCTATCTCCATTCGCTCCCAGTCTCCGGCCTTGTCTGGAAGTTGCTACCCAAATTTAGATCAGGAATTGTATTTGCTGTCTCTACAAAGTTCTAGTACTGTACTGGTGTCCACGAGTGAATGATCTTCTCAGTCGTTTAGATGTCTACGTTTTCCGCAGGAGCTCGGAAGTTTTCCTTGTATTAAACCACAGGTGCGACATAGTTCAGACAATTGAGGGGATTATCCACTGCGTGTGTACAGTTCATGGAACAGAGTAAAACATCTAAATTATTATTTGATTTTGCTTCGCCGAGGAAGGGTAACTATGCATCTTCTTTCCCTTTCTTTTCCTTTCAAAATAAATATTACAAGACAAGTATGCCAAATTGCCATTTGGGAAGAAGAAAGATTCCTTCTAATCTATATAATTCCACAGTTGTCCGGCTGCATATCTTCATTCTTACATAGATCGAGACGGCTGTGTGTACGTGGAGAAATGACAAGTTGCTGAGTTCACCTATTTCCAAGGGAGTGAAAACTTCAACAATTCTCTAATCGAAAAATCGGCGACACCAAATTTGCTTTGAATCATATAGCTTCATTTACACCGTTGGCGCGTGCGATCACACATCGTGCACACGAGCCGTTTATGCACAAATTACAGCAGAAGTGCGTCCCATGACCAACGCTCAGTATACTGAAATCTTTGCCAAAAGATGCAGACGACCCACATCCCTATGCTATCAGATTATCGTCTCTCCGGCGCACAAACCAAGTCCCTGGTCTACAAAATTGAAGCACCACCTGCTTAAAACGTCCACTACGTCTGAAGCGAGTGGAGTTTTCCTCGTACATATTCTCAACGCCACCGCGGGCTCTCTAAATGCTTGTACGGCACGGGCTACATGTAATCTTGAAACCAAGAAGACGCTTCCACATTCAGCTAAGTTATATACATCCAGGACAATCAAGACACAGCATTGGCTCTCAAGTGAGCCCCCTGTATTTCCTTCATTAGTGCTCAAGCATGGGACAATCATGGCAGGACCGCCTCTTCAATTCATGTGGATGCCACTCTAAATTATCATGTCCATGTGGCCAGTGCCTTTCACTTGGTCCAGCTCATAAGTTCTACTCTCCTAATGATTAAACTCTACTCGGCCCCTGTTTGACTCTACTCAGCCTCAAAATTGTTACGCCTGAGTGTGAATCCCCGATATCTTAACTTCACCCCCTTCGGATTTCAATCTCTCTTTAGAACATTGAAACCCTGATCTAGTGCAAGAATAAATCGGACACGTCACTTACGTGTAAAACAAATAAGCTCCTCATGCTTGACGTCCGCAACCAAAGATTATCCGGCAGCTACAGCTTCTGCCGGCGTCGTTCCTGCTTCTGCAGAAGCGGGGGCTTTCGTGGGAGAATCTCCTGAGGCCTCTTCCTCGTTCCTGCTTGGGTTCCGTCTGGGACTGCCGTCTTGCGCCTTGCCATTACCTTCGGTTTGCACGGCCTGTGCATCTTCGGCAGCTTCCTCGGCCACATTGTTCGTGTTCGCTTGCTTGCGCAGCTGCGCAAACAGGGCTGCATTGTCGGCTTTCATTTTCTTGCATTCCTCCGAAACCCGTGCTAATTCTGTCCTCAGAGCCATGTTTTCCACGGTCAAAGTGTCGACCCGAGTGCCCAGTTCCTCGCACTCCGCCTGCTTACGCAAGCGAGACCGTCTTGCTGACTCCCTGTTCGATTGTTTCCGTCTTTGCCGTTTGACCTCACGCTCATCTTGCAACCACAACTCCGGAGGTACCCCATCCCGGCCGCTGCTGCCCTTCAGAGGCGTCCCGGGAGTCGTTGGCACCATCCCACCGGAGCTGCTGGCCGAGGGTCGCTTGCCCTTCTTGCCGCTGTTCATCCCAGCCAGATTGGTTCCACTGCCTCCGGATCCTTTGCCTGGCATGCCGAATTGCGCCCCGGCAGCTCCTCCACTGCCCACGGCAAGATTCACGAACCCGGGCTGCTGGTTGCTGTAAGCAGGCGCGGGGGCGCCCGCCACCACGATGGCGCTCTCGAGGGTCATCTGTTCAAAACTCCTCTGCCGAAGCATGCTTTGCGAGTTGTCATCGTCGCTCCCTTCGCTCGATCCCTCGCTGCCACTTTCGCCTTCGCCGCTCTGCGAGAACACGCCGTCGGCCGACCCGGAATTGCCTTTGCCACCATCACTGCCCTTGGACCGCTTCAGAGGAAGTCTGTTCTTCAACCGGTCCGCCACCTTGGTCCCTTCGCCTTCGCCTCCCGCGGGGGTGGTCGCTGTGGCCTCACTCGCAATTGCCCCGCCGGGCGAGGGCATTCCATACTGCGAGTAGGGGTGAGCTCCGGGGGGCATCGAGGGATGCGAGTACATGCCTCCGTGCGGATACATGGCACCGTAGGGTGGCGCGGGCGTGCCATACCCCGGCATCATTGGCTGCCCGCCCCACATGTACGGGTGGGGTTGCGGCCCCGAGCCGACCGAGGGAGGAAAATAGCCCGGCGGTGGTTGACCTCCGGAATTGTAATACGCCTGGAATGCCGCGCCCCATTCCGCGTAGGGCGTCGGAGTGGTTTGCTGCTCTTGCGTGGTGGAGACTTTGGCAGCCTTCGTGGGCGTTCCGGTTTCGCCTGTCCCCATCTTTAATTCGGCAACGTCTTGAATGTTGGGCCACTCGTGCACGTAATTCCTCACGACAAAGACATGAAGCCCCGGTTCTTGCCAGACTGATTCCGAGCCGCGAGCCCGGAGCAAATTCGCCGGCCTGCCTGCCCCGCTCCGACGCTAGAAAAAACCTGTCAAAGACTCCGCTCCGGCCTGGTGCGCTAACGGGAAAAAGGCTCGTTCTTTGCCGCTCGTCATCGAGCTGACAACATGACAGACTCCGAGGCGGTAGCAGCAGCAGCAGCTCTAATCTCTCGAGGGGCCGGCCCCCGGGGTCACGTCATTGGCGCAATTAGTCTCGACGGACTGACGGCTGCGCAAACGCACGAGACAACGCTTTCCCGCGACAAAACGATCGAGGCCCCGTTTGAACGGCAAAAGGCCCGATTGACTTGCTCGTCCGACGCTCGGGCCCGACCGGAATTCGATTAAAAAGACTATAGTACGATAAAAACGCCCTACTCGGACCAGAGGCGCACGCCGGGCAAGACAAGATCCGGTCGCGCTAGTGCTCGCGCTCGCGCTCGTCGATCAGAGGCAGAGGCCTGCGCTGCGAGGGGGTCGTCCGCTGCTGTCTGAGAGGACATGCATCTGCTGATATGGCCTGACACCGAGCAACGCCGATCCGAACCTTTGACCCCGGCGCCCGCAAATCGGCTGATATGGACGCCAACAAACAACGATCCCCCGCACACTCGCGCTCGGGCGCGCTAAACGACCGTGTGTTTGCTGATATGGCTGCCAACGAGCATCGATGACAATCGCTCGCCCGCTCCGTGCGCACTAAAAGACCGTGAATCTGCTGATATGGCTGCCAACGAGCAGCGATCAATATCCTTGCAGCCCAACAAGCATGAATCTGCTGAGATGGCTGCCAACGAGCATCGATTCAACTCTCTCACGCTCTTCCCAACCTAAGTGAGCGTGAATCTGCTGATATGGCTGCCAACGACGTCTGCCTTCCGCGCCTCTCACCCTAAACCACCATGAAACTGCTGATATGGCTGCCATCTACCCTAAACGACCGTGCACCTGGTGATATGGCTGCCAGCAAGGCTGCCATATCCGTCATACGGGCCAGCAAGGCTCGAAACTGGCCCACCGCCGTAGTTTTCGGAAAACTATTAAAGTGCGGTGGAGAGTCGAGGATGACACATCGAAGGGCCCACATGCCTTGCTGACTCAGTCTCCCACCTCAGCTTCTTGTCGGTATCACATGCTAATCAGGGCCCGTGTCCCTGCTGACTAGCCGGTGTACAATTGGCCCCGTCCTACTACAGTATTCCACATGGATACCAACGAACCGGAGTATTTTAGCGAAAAAGCGTATCCACACTGAACACGTGTCTCTTCCACCACGTGTCCTTGTACGGCTGAGACGCTTGTGCTTTTTCTTTTTGTAACTATTTCGCCTTCGACTCCTCTTCTAAGTCCGGGACTTTAAATCCCACATCCCTGTCATCCGCTTATCTTTACCATCGGACCATCGCACTCACGCCTGGGCCTAAGTCTGGCGTACTGGAGAAAAAGTTCTCCTCACAGCTATGCGGAATGACTAGAGGGCGTCCGCACTCCAACTGCGCACTGGAAGTTTGGTTCTCGGGTTTTAATCCCGACACATTGGAACCACTTTTTCACATATGAGCTGCTGAGTTCATCATGTGATGAAGAGATACACGAATTGCTGCTTGATATTTACAATGATACACGAGCAACATTATTTTGGAGTATATGTTCGGAAGAAGAATAATAACTTGCTCCATTATCTGATTTCAATCGTCTCTGCCTCTCTGCACGTTTACATACTCTGCCCTTATTCGAACTTGTATTTAGCTCTTCGACATCTCTCGTGTTTCTCGTTTCTTTGTCCATCGCTTTAAAGATGGAGTATATATTATGGAATAAAGTGATATTTTAGTGCTTAAGTTAAACCTGAAAGAGTTTCCCATTGGCTCTTTCACGAGGTGATTTTTTTTTCGCTCCATGAAATAAATTTGTCCGTAGTTCAAGTCTACAACCTACTGATTTAAGAGAAGTAAGAGATCAGCAATTGAAGACCTCAAAACTTCTCGTCTGGAAGGATATATATATCCTTTCCAACTTATTAAATTGTGACAATGGATTACGTGTTTTAGCTATATTGTAGCAAAATATGTACACATATAGAAAAACCGAGCAATTTTCACAGCCAAGGATTGTAAAAGTAAAAGAAAATTCAGAATACGTGTTTATTACACAAGTTAAGTTGGTACAAGTAGACAAATAAACGCGCTCATTTGAGCTTTTAAAGCATATTGCACAAGTCAATCATCTTTTGCGGATATAAGGCATGGTGTTTTCAACCATCGGAGCTTATAAATCATCAATTAAAACACATCAATTTTGGTTATATATCATGATAACTGTTGGAAACTAGATCAATAGTTATTGAAATGTTCAATTTCATAGATTAAGATATGCAAATGAATGAACTACTAGATAACTCTAATTTTTATTCAACATCCAGTTACATTTTATACAAACAAGGTACGAGAATAAGTAATATTCATTTGTAATAATAATTTAATACTAACTGATATCTTGTACTAAAATGAATTTTGATAATATGCAATTTTCTATATTTTTTATTTTTTATTTTCATTTCAGATAATTTTCATCAATATTATAAAGAATATCTCTAAAGAGATTTAGTTATTTCTCAAATTTGAAGTAGATGTTATTATCTCACTAAGCATTCATTTGTATGTGATTTCATAAAATCCAGAAACTTAAATTTGTCAACAAGATGGAAAAAGATCTGAGGCTTGCTAATTTTTCCCAAGAATAAAGCAGACACATAAATATTTTGATTAAATATATCAATTTTTTCTATTCCTCATGTTATTAAATCTTTGTTCTTGATTGAGCTTACAAGAGCAACATTTTTTGTCTACTTCAATAACCTATTGAAATTACGAAACAAGAACATATTTGTTCAGAATGATAATTAGTGTTACTCATTTCAAATTTATTTTTATTTTTTTAAAATTATTGTATCATATAGAAGACATTTAAGGGTTTTGAAAAATTAAAGTTTTTAATTTATTAAGTTTAAAAATTTAAAACAGGAGTGTGAACATTTTGATTATGACTAGAAAGTTTTGTTTTTGAAACAACCGAAAAAGTATAATTTTTTCTCTGAAATAGAAAATAATTTCACACAATTAAATATCTAAATGAAATGGGTTGTTTTCTTTCATCATTGAGTAAAAAAAATTTGAATATATAATTAGATTTTAAGTTTTTTTTCCATAAAATATTTTGTTATAATTTTAAGGTTTTACAGAAAATAAATAATTTCATTGATATTTTATATTTATTTTTAACATTAATTCTCAAACGTTATTTCGAAAGACAACATTCTTATTTTATGAATGATAACCGCATGGAATATCAGCTGTTCAATTTTTTAATTAATGGAAAAATATTTAGTCAAAATTAAGCTTTAACTTCTAAAATATTCTTTTTATAAAAGCAATTCATAGCAACAATTTCTAAACATTAATCAACGCTTACAAATTTGATTTTGATCACAAATTTAAGTTTATTTTTTATTTTTTCAAACAGATTAATTGAATATAAAATTACAATTAATCTCTTATTAAAATTTAAATTCATATCAACACATTTTTAGTTTCAAATTATTAAAATTCAAAAGTGAGTTTCAGAATCATATAATTTCAGAATCTGATTTTGAATTCATTTAATCTTGTTTTATATAATTAATTTCAGAATTGCAAGAAATTCAACAATGAGTTATGAATCATTCAATTCTAACATTGATGATTATAGATGATGTGAAATATTTATTGATTCATTATTTTAAATTTTGATAAAAATATTATTTACCAGTATCTTGTACATCAAGATAAATATACTATATATATAATATGATAATAATATTATATTCTATAAATCACACATATGTATTTTATTTATATAAGATTATTAATTAAACTATTTTTATTTTATACATTTTATCTTTAATTCAAAATTATTAAATTTTACATTTAATAGGATTCTAAGAAGAAATGTATTATTGTTTTCAACATTTCATTTCAAAACACCAATTCAATAAAGAACTCTTTGAATGATACTTTCAAAACACACTTAATTGATGAGTCTAGATAAATCTATCTAAATCTATTTCATAGATTAAGATATGAAAAAATTTATGGAATAATTTTAAATAAGAATGGAAACCCAAATATAGCTGTCAAACCCAAATATATATTAGGTTAAATATTTAAAAAATATTTAATCATAAAATATCATGAAAAAAATATTTTGATTCAACTGCAAATTATGTGCTGATGTTAGAGATCATTTCATATTATTGTACTTATTTCTTCAATTTCAAAAGGGACAATACATAAACTAGAGTGATATTAAGGGATTCAACAGATATCAATCAATTCAAAAAAAAAAACAATCTATGAAGTTTATATTTTTTTCAAATAATTACAAGATTGAAGATAATTGTATAAGGCATGGAGATCAGATTGATTAGATTTATTCATGTATTGGATCATTTCATATATATATACAGAAAATCAAATGAATATTATGTAACATGAAAAATAAATTTTAAAAGTAAAATTTCGGTTTTATTGTAGTTTCTAATCTTTAAATAAAGTGTTTAATGATTTTTAAGTCTCAAATTGAAAGTGATTGAAAATATTATAAATCATGAGATTTTTTTATTTAGATATATTTTAATAAGAGATTTTTTTTAATTATGTGTTATTATTCATGTATCAAATTTGTTCAAAATTTTTAAATTTAAAATTGGATAAATATTCGAAATAAATTTTTTATTTTAATTTGAGATTAGAAATAATTCTTTGATAGTAGATTTGTGAAAACATGCAAAAATATTATTTGCAATTTGCACTACATAAAAAAACATTTTTTATGATATATGTATGCAATTTATTATGAATTTTTCATGAATTTCAATTTTATTGAATATATTAAATCAAACAATATGTTAATTTTATGGAATTTTTTTAAATATTAAAAGAGGATGATTTATGAATATAATGACTTGCAAAACAAATGTAAACTAATATATTCTGAAATATATGTACAATTTGATACATTTTTGTTGTTGAAAATTAATTTTAAATGAAAAATTTATAATTTGAAAATTTGAAAAAGGTTTAATATGCAATATTTATCTTTAATTTTGATTTATAAAAATATAAAATTTTGTTAGTTTAAATTAAATCTCAAAATAAATTCAAGTTAATCTAACTTGAGGTAGATTTAGAATTAGTAGTATTCTAATTAGAATTAAATTTGGAGTATTTGCTATCATGTATATATAGGAGTACAGACACAACTCGCCTTGAACATTTTGCAGCTTTTTTAATATAGATCTCAATGTGAACTTAAATTTATACTCTTGTCGCACTTGTTTTTCTTTTCTTGGTGTTTTTTGTTACAATTGATATTAGATTTCGTATAAAAACTAGTCAAACAAAATGTTACTCTTTGATGCATTTCAAGATTTGAGCTCAATTGCACTCTAGATTGGAGTGAGCAATGCCAAAACTCGGATCCATAAAACTTCAATTGGCTAGATTGTTCTTTCGAATACTTTGAATTTTGAGTAACGGAATGAAAAATTGGAGCGGAAGAGTGATGAAAGTAGAGCGGACAATCATTTTTTAGAAGGAGAGCTTGGAATTTTATAGCTCCAAGAAGATGAGAGTCTTTCATGTCAGTTGACAAATGTGCGTGCGTTGTATATCCGAGGATGGAAACCGACAATAGGATGACTAGAACCAAAACATTTAGGTTTAAATACCAATGCCTCATCATTGATCATTAAAAATTCTACAAGAGCTGGCTCGTAGACAACTTGAACGCTTACGATAAGTTTCAAGAATGAATGTAGAAGACAAAGAAATTTTT